TTTTTTTTTGGCAGAGCTGGGGATTAAACTCAGGTCCTTGAGCTTGCCAGGCAAGTGCTTATTCAACTGAGCTATCTCCCCAGCAAGCATAATTTATTATTGAAGATTTTCAAAATAAATTCCCTGTGAGCTGGGTGTAGTGGTGCATGCTTATATTCCCAGCACGTGAGAGGCTGAGGCAGGAGGATCACCTTGAGTTCAAGCCCAGTCTGAATCACACAGCAAGACCCTGTCTCAATCAATCAATTCCACTTGCTGGAGTACCTTTATACTGTACCTTTCTATGTTTAGATACACAAATATCATCCTTGTGTAATAAATGCCTGCATATTTAACACAGTAACATGCTGTACAATTATGTACTGTAGAGGCAAGGCTACATCATCCAGATATCAATACATTCTATATTGGGCTGGGGAGATAGCTCAGCAGTCTAGGCATCTGCCTGGCAAGCACAAAGACCCAAGTTAAATCCCAGTACCACATGCTGTGCAGGCCCTGGAATCCTGGGCACACTGTGCCAGCCTTGAAATCAGGCATGGTGGCACACACCTGTAATTCCAGTGCTGGGGAGGCTGACACAGGAGGATCACTACAAGTTCCAAACTGAATAGTGAGACCCTGTATCCAATAAATAAATAAATATATAAATTTTAAATGTATATTTTAATGAAAGCAAGAGACAGGAAAAGGAATATTGTGGGACTGTCCTGCTTCAAGGTTGTATATGGTGAGATTTTCGGACTTATGTGTAAACATAAGTATATAATTCTTTATGCCTATTTTAAAAATACATTCTAATTTTTAAATGTTTTTTATCATATTCTGTAGGGACTTAAAGTTCAACATATCAATACTTGATGAAAAATACCTGTTCCATATTATGCCTAAGATGTTTGACATTCAGACAGATAGTGAGGTTAAGCTTAACAGCCTAAGTTATATGGTAATAACAGTAAGCTTGTCTTCTGGATGGTTAACAACCTAAGTTTGCAGACCAAAATTAGAGAAAAAGGAGGGCTGCAAGGAAAGCCAACATTTTGGCCCTAGCCTTCTAAGGTCAGTTAAGACTCAGGACGTATGAGAACTTATACTGTAACGTCATGTAACTCAGTAGTGTCCCAAATTTTCTGATCAAGGAGATTATGGGGCCAAAGAGGAAAGTGATCGATGATGTAGAGTGTGCCTAAGGAGAGTCACATGAAGAGAAAATATTCTCTCAGGCTTTCACAGAGAGCACATTGGCCAAGCAATGGCCGAGACTCATCCACATGGCTGACACTGACAAAGGTTCTACAATCTGAGGTACAGGATCTCAGGATAAATCCTGAGGGGATTTCACTGACCTTATCAGACCCAAAAGCTACAACTCTGGTTGCATAGGTCCTGCTTTACCTTGGCCTTAACCATCCAGCAGAAAAGTATAAAAACGAAGTATAAGAAGTAAAGTCATGCTGTTACGTTGAGCTGTAGGGGACTCAGGTCAACAATTTATGACACTGCCAGTCAAGTGGAAGACCCAAAACTATTATAGGCTACTGGACTCTTTTAGAATATTTTGCCGAGTTTACATAACTGTAATATTCAAATAACGGAACTTAACAAAAAAAGGGGATATAGATGTCTATTTTGTATCTGTGTATTCAAAGTGGTTAGGATAGATAGTTACATTCTCTTAATGAATAGAGTGATTTGTTCTAATGGTGTTTGTAAATAGGATATCATGTCCGCATCTTGTACAGCATTAACCACTAGGAAGAATGTATTAATTATTGAAACTGTCCTACCAATTTGATTTGAAACTGTCTCATTGCTATTTGTTTATAAATAAAATTATGGAAAAAATAAAATAAAATAAAGTATATTTTAAGACTGGGGGGGGCTGGTGAGATGGCTCAGTGGTCTAAAGCACCTACTTAGAACAAGCTTAGCAAAGCACAGGGACAACGGTTCAATCCCCCAGCACCACATGCCAGCCAGCCCCGCCCCCTGGTGGGCTGAGCTGGCCACACACACACACACGCACACATAAATAAATATATTTATTTGAAATTTAAAAAAAAAAAAAAAAGACTGGGGGTGGTGCCGCATGCCTGTAATCCCAGTGCTGGGGAGGCTGAAAAAAGAAGAATCACTACAAGTCCAAGCTGCGTAGTGAGACCCTGTACGAAATACATTAAAAAAAAAAAAAAAAAAGGAAGAAAGGTATATTCTGAAGCAACCAAACTGACTAATAATGCAGTTTTCAAAATTATTACAGTATCATCACTATTAAAGATTTAGTACTGTATATGCTGAATGTCGCCAATGTGTATACTATACTTTAAATACACACAGCTTACAGTGTGTGAATTTTACTTGTAAAGAGCTGTTTACAAATAAAATGGGGATAGAGTTCAATGGTATAAGCACCTGCCTGGCAAAAGCAAGGTCCTGAGTTAGATTCCCAGTACTAAATAAACAAACAAATTACATAATGCACCTAATTCCAGCTTTTTGTTCTACTCTCAGATTTCTAAGCACTTTCTGAGCATTCAAAAAGTTTTCATACCTATTAAGGCAATTTAATCATATCCCTACTAGATGGACAATGGATTAACTAGATGTTATTTTCCTTATTGGAACTTGAAAAGGCCTAGACACATGGATAAAGTGGCCTATCTGATGAGCCAAAGTCAAAGGCATGAAGAAAATTGGGTCTTCTTACTTCTGGCCTCCATTTTTTATTTTGTTTTGTTTTGTCTTAGCAGCAGTAAGCAATCTTAACTAGTAGAAAAAGGAAAATGGAGAAAGCAGAAGACTAGACTGAGTTAATGGTTGAAGGTGAGCAAGAGAAAAGAAAAGGGTTAAGGAAAGGGTGATTTATTCAACAAACATTAACTTAGCAATAGCTTTGTACTAGGCATTTGATAAACGGGAATAACACAATCATGAACATCACTAACATGATGCTTCACAAATTTGAAGTTTACCAATGAAAAGATACACTAAACAAATATGTAACTCTTATAAATGACCAACAGAAAAATCACAGGATGCAACAAGCATGCACCAGAGCATGTTTTACCATGCTACAAAAGGTGATAAGAGGTAAGCAATGACTCCAAATTTTTATGCCCCTATTAGTTTGTTAGGAGTTAGTTCAAGAAGTCCTCCCTTTCCAATTTTCCTTAAAGCACTTTCTCAGAGTAAGCTACTTCTCTGTTGAGGTGCTATGCTACTCTCTGGTTTACTGGTGGTCAAACACTACATACTGATCTTATCCCTACTGGTTTTCAAGTACTCCGAGGGCAGAACCTCTGACACTTGTCTTAATGCCCAGTACTGGCCACTGATTCAACTGGAAACACAAGTGCTTTCCACACTTGTGGAAAGCTATTGCTAAGTTAATGTTTGTTGAATAAATCACCCTTTCCTTAAAGAACCCTTTTCTTTTCTCTTGCTCACTTTCAACCATTAACTCAGTCTAGTCTTCTGCTTTCTCCATTTTCCTTTTTCTACTAGTTAAGAATGTAGGGGGCTGGTGAGATGGCTCAGTGGTCTAAAGTACCTACTTAGAACAAGCTTAGCAAAGCACAGGGACCGCAGTCCAATCCCGCAAAGCACAGGGACCGTGGTCCAATCCCCCAGCACCACATGCCAGCCAGCCCCGCCCCCTGGTGGGCTGAGCTGGCCCCCCACACAAAAATAAATAAAACAAAAACAAACAAACAAACAAAAAAACATTGCAAGTGCTGGGCTGGTGAGATGGCTCAGTGGTCTAAAGCACCTACTTAGAACAAGCTTAGCAAAGCACAGGGACCGGGGCCCAATCCCCCAGCACCACATGCCAGCCAGCCCCGCCCCCTGGTGGGCTGAGCTGGCCACACACACACACACACACACACATAAATAAATAAAATAAAAAAATTTAAAAAAAAAAAAGATTGCAAGTGCTGGAAACACCACCAGCTCTCTGTGTGCAGACAAAAGATGTCTTACCTAGTTAAAAATCTTTACTCTGAAACATAAGCATGTAAATCTACATTTTCTGACAAATGAGCTTAAGAATCCACCTTCCTGCCATCATGTCATCCAAGACTTTTTTTTTGTAGTTAGGAGTGGGTATAGAGGGTCTCACTGCATAGATTGGACTAGTACCGATTCTCCTGTTTACAGCCTCCCAAATGCTGGGATTATAGGCATACCACCATGCCTTCTCAATCACCCATGGAGCCAGGCTGGCATAGCAGGCCAGGGGATTGAACTCCTGGCCCCTGCATCTGCTTAATCAGATGTTTTAATCCACTCAGCTGTTTGGCCAGCCCTTATCCAATAATTTTTGATATGAAAATGTTTCATCTTTCTGAACTGACAACGAAAGGGGTACTGACACACTCAGAAGGAAATGGTACCTCAACAAAGCTGTAATGCTGTCATCAACTTCCCTTTTTGTTGAGGCCAAAGACCCAGCAAACCTCAGTTTCTAAATGACAAGGAGTGAGACAGCAAGATCGCTAGGTAAGATCTTGCTAACTAACATCACACAGGTCAAAACTTGAGATTCGCTCATCAGCCAGAAAAGAGATCTTATTTGGTTCTAACCAACCTCCCAAGGGACAGGGAGTCACTGGATCTCTTGGTAAGACACACAAGCTGCCAGGTTCCCAAATGACTTACTTTCTCCTGAAAGTAGTTTGCTGACAAGTTATAAATTTCCACAGTGCCATCCGTTCGTGAAACAGCCAATCTATTTGACTGGTTATTGTAAGCCACACAGCGGATCCCTGGTGGGACATAATTAAAGAAACGTACTCGATGGACTTTAAATTCACCCATTCCTACAGAGAGAAAAAAAGGACATACATCACTGTTAAATATTAACTGGATTGTCACATATATTTGTCATTATTATTCTACATGGAAAATTCCAAATTTATCTCCCTGAAGTTCACTCCTAAGTAATTATCAATATTTTATTTTACTTTTCTTGGTACCAGGAATCGAACTCATGACCTTGTGCTTGTAGGCTGGCACTGTACCGCTGTGCTACATCCCTGGCCCTCTTTTTTTTTTTTTTTTTTTTTGAGAGGAGATTTCATTCACTATGCAGTTCGAGCCCGTCTTGAACTCGGTTTGTAGCTCAGCCTGGCCTCACACCCGCAGCAATCTTCTTGCCTCAGCCTCCCAAGTACTGGCATTTACAGGCGTGCGCCACTACTCTCGGCTCCAACGATGTTTTCGTGCCTCAAGCAAGAACCTATCAATCTCAAGAAGCTCAGGCTGGTTCAAATAGAGATACTTAAGCAAAAATCCCTCAAAGGGTCCTATTCCATAGCTCTAGAATCCTAATCTCGGGTAAGAGGGGTAGAAATCTGCATTTGAGCAAGCACTGCTCTCCACCTCTCAAGTACACTGTTTGCAAATCACTGGTAGTGACGTGGGGCTGATGGGGCAAGGCAAACCCAGAGCTCGAGGGTAGAAAGTGACAGGACCCCGGCTGCCCGGTCCAGCACTCCCAGGCAACACACAAACCGCACGAGGGTCAGTATGGGATCTGGATCGGCCCTCGCTGTCTACCTACAGTGTTCGAAACCCACGGTCCGAGTACGCGCATTCGGTCCGCTCAGGCGAGCGTCTGAAGATTCCACGCGAGGTCTTTGCCACCCTTGCCCTTACCCAAAGGCTTCGGAGCAGGGTCCACTCGGCTCGGGACAAGAAAACTAGCAAATTCCGCGGAGCACCGACCCTGCGCCGGCCGCACCGCCACACACTCTGAACCACACTTCCCACGCCCCTTCCCCAAGTCACCTGAGGCTCTCCGCCACCAGCCCGGAGCTCGCCCCTCTCCGCCCCGGCCCCACGTGCGCGCGCGCTCTCCAGCTCTGCCCCGGAAGTGCTCGTGGCGCGAGGCCGGAAGTGCGCAGGCAGTGCTCGCGGCGGCGGCGACGGCGGCGGGAGGTTCGGTTGTCGCCCGTTGGCCGCGCGGCGCCGCGCTCGGCGGCCGCCATTGCAGGTTAGGCCGCGGGTGGGGGACACGCGAGGCCGTGGGAAGCGAGGTCTGAGTCGGGGATGGGGGAGAAGGAGCGGGAAGCCAGGGAGCCGGGGCCGGGCGGGGCGTACGACTCGGGGAGAAGAATGGCGAGAGCCGAGGGGCGGGGAGCGGCGGGGCGGGGGAGGGGCGGCCGAGCAGGGGGAGGGAAGCGGGGCGGGCCGCGCAGAGGTGGGGGCGAGCCCACGCGGGCCTTCGGGTTTTGAGGGCCGGGGAGCGTGGGGGAAGGGAGAGGAGTGGGCGCGGGAGGCGGAGGGAAGGCAGGGGGCGAGCGAGCGGAGCGGGAGAAGGGAGGAGAGGGTGCCTGAGCGCGCGGGCAGAGGACGGACAAGGGGGCGGCGCGGGCCGGAACCTCAAGGTATGTGCGGGAAGGGGCTCTTCCCGGCGTTGGGAGGGAGCCCAGCCTGCCAGGCTTGCGGGAGTGGAGTGGTGCTGGCACCCAGAAAGTAGTGGGAATAGCAGAAAGAATCTCGTGGGGTGGGGGTGGGGGATGACAGATTGAGAGGTTTGTTCTAGGGGACATTTTCTTTTAATTGAGGGGGATGGGGTGGGCTGGAGAGTGTACTTCTGGGAGAGATGATTTGGGGGGTGGTCGGTGATCTCAGCTTATTTTTTGGTTGGGTAAAGCTGAGAGAGGAGTGGTGTGGGGTCCTGGGGAAGCGAAGTACTTGGGGACTAGGCATAGTTTAGATCCTGAGGGTGGTCGAAGAAAGCCCGTTAAAAGAGGAATCTTTAGTAGAATAATTTGGAATACCCTACAGCATAGTGGAAGGCAGTCTAAAGAATGGGAGGAACGAGAGTAATTTTTTAAGAAGGTAGATTACAGGACTAAACATTAGTAAACGGTTCCAGCAAGTGTAGGGGCAATTGGGAGGGGATTGAAGAAAAGGGAAGCGGATGGGTGAGTTCCAGAAAGTGGGCCCGAATAGGAAGTGTTTATTTTTTCTCCGCTGTAATTGGAAGGTGGGAACAGCCCTGGGCTGGAGGAGGTGGGGACAAATGGGAAGGGAAAACGGCAGATAGGGGAGACCCTGAGCAGGGCTAGCAAAAGGGCCCCGGGAGAAATAGGGTGCCATGTTAGAGGAGAAAAGGCTGAGATGGGTCTGCAGAGTAGAAGAAGATGGAGAAAACTGGAGTAACTCAAATCGACTGAAGCCATCTTTGCCACCATTGTCTACAAATACCAATAATAGATTCCCTCCAATCTGGGAATCCTGAAACGTGATGGGAAAGTACCACGTGTATGCATAGCATCTACACAAGTTTTTGAACACACTCTTCAATAATGAAAAGTTTGGAAGCATTCAGTTCCACCTACCCTTCATGGCTCCTTTTTGGAGAGGAGCAAGTGTCATTTAAAAACAAGACTTTAGATTTGGTAACATAAGCCTGTCAAGATACAAGATCCTCTTCTAAATGAAGGCCATGCCAATCAGTCACAAAACCACAATAACACTACTAATAAAAGTAATGTGTATTCATTTGTGTATAAAACTTAATCAGTTCATTTAATGAAAGGCACATAGAGAAGTCATCATATACAAAGAAACTACCTTCCAGAGTTTAATCCTCAAAGCAGTTTGATCTTCCTTGTAGTGTTTCAGTTGTTCTTCGGTTGTGTAAACTTGAAAGTGTTGAGACTGGTTCTTGCAGTGCAGCCCATACTGGCCTCAAACTTGAAGTTACCTCCTGTCTCAGCCTCCCAACTGCTAGTTACAAGACTGCTGAGATTATAGGCATGTGCCACCATGCCTGGTTTAAATTGTGTAAATGTAATTTTTCCCTGTAGATCTGCTTTTATAGGATTTTAAAATCACTTTTAAACACCCAAATGGTTTATGTAGTTTAATACTAAGTGACATCTTATTAGGTATATACTAAGAAAATGTAAATTTCCAGGTAATCACTAGCCTATTGGTTTATAGTTTACCTCGTGTTAGACAGTGTGCTGAGACTTTATGTTCATTATGTCATTCTTAAGTCCTATTGAGGTAGGTGTTTTATGCCCAATTCATAGAGAAATTTATGGAGTTATAGCACTCTGTCACACATAGGTCTTATGGAATCCAGATTGGCCTGAGTAATGTCTTGTATCACTAAACAGAAGATAGACCCTAGGAATAAACAAATGCCAAATAATATACTATTGACTTGGCAATTTTCAAATACATTGTGTCATGTGTTTAATTTTTTTTTTTTTTTGGGGTGGGGGAGGCTGGTCTCAAGCTCTGTGATTCTCCTCTCAGTGCTGGGATTGCACCATACCGAGCATATATTTAATTATTCTAAAATATGATTTATTTACATTTTTAAATAGTCATGACTTAAGTTGTATTTATGTATTGGAGCTAGGATCTCACTGTTTTATTTATTTTACTTTGGATTTCTAGGTAGTTTAGGCTGGCCTCAAGCTCACTAATCCTCCTGGGATTATATGCATACCCATCATGCCTCACTTTCACTCAAGCTTTTTTTTCATGATGAAAAAAAAACCAAAAAAAATGAGTGAAGCTGGGTACAGTGGCACATACCTATAATCCCAGCAATCAGGAAGCTGAGGCAGGAGGATCACTTCAGACTTGAAGGCCAATTTGGGCTACAGTGAGTTCAGAGCTAGCCTGAATTACATGAGACCTTGTTTAAAAAAAAAAAAAAAAAAGATTGAGAGCAGAGAGGAAAAAATATTTTTCTCATCTTTCCATTTCTCCAGGGCTGTACACCAGTTTTAGCCTGTGAAACTGATTGCACGCTGAAATATAATGAATTTGTACAATTTTTTTGAAAAGTTACTTCACGAAAATTTCTGACTTTGTCAATCTGGAATTACTGTTAGTAATCACAGATATGTTGGTTATAGGTCAAATCTGGGATTGAACTAGCCTCTGTGGAGGCTTACTAGGAAGATCTTCTAGTAACTTATGATTTGGTGAATAGTTAATTCTTCAAACTGTACCTTTCAATATTTGCTCTTGACATAGCTGCGGTTTTTTATTTATTTATTTTTGCAGAACCGGGGATTGAACTCAGCCCTTGTGCTTGCTAGGGAAATGCTTATTCCACTGAACCGTCTCCCCGGCTAGCTGCAGTTTTTAAATGAACTAAATTACAAATTCCTTTGTCAATGTTGTTAGGATGAGTTAAGACTGAAGATGTAAACATGTTTTTGTTATATAGAGAATTTTCATTGTAATGTTACTGTTATTACCAATAGGATTGCACTTACCCAGGTTAAGTCGCATCCAAAATGCTCAGACCAGAAGTGTTTAAAATTTGGAGTATGTCAGATTTAGGAATGTTTCCGTAGACTTTTTAACAGTTGAGTATTTGTAATCAAAACCTGAAATGCTCTGACAGTTGAAACTGACATACTCAAAAATTTTCAGATAAGGGATGTGCAACTTTAATTATACTTATTCCCCACCTGTTTTTCTAATTTGTGCTCTGAAGTGAGTAGAGACAGGTTGAGCTTCATGTACCTTTATCCTTTTTAACCAGCCACACACTAAATGATATATTTTTTGTCCCTGCCATTTCCATCAGGTATGTCCTCATTTCAGTAGTCAGAGATCTACTCTGGCCAAATGGACAGTAGCCTAAAAATCTCAAAGAATCAGGAATAGTAGAATTCAGATGTATGATTGATTTACTTTTTGCAGTACCAGGGATGGAACTCAGGACCTTGTGCTTGTATGCTACTGAGCTATGTCCCCAGCTCAGATGTCTGATACTTTAAAGCACTTAAAGTAGAATTTAAATTCACTAGGGATGTTATTTCCTATTTTTCTTTTTTGATTTTTTGCGACAAGATCTTGCTTTTATGTATTTATTTATTGCAGAACCAGGGATTGAACTCAGGCCTTGCACTTGCCAGGGAAGCACTTATTCCACTGAGCCATCTCCCCGGCCCCAAGATCTTGCTGTTAGTATAGGCTGACCTTGTCCTTTGGAATGCTGGGATTATAGGTGTGCCCATGTTCCCTCATTCAGTAGCTACACTGTCATGTATACATAAGGCATAAATGTTAGCAGATCAGTTTAGTTTCCCCTGAACTAGATTGATGCTAGGCTTGCACATTTCTGAGGTATCCTAGTAGATCTAGTGAGAAGCAGTTTTTATCATCTTATTAAGGTACAGCAGCAGAATGGTGAGGTACAAACTGGCAAGACTGGGGGCCACAAAAAATTCTCATTTTCAACATAATACTAGGTGCTTGTTAGTACCACTAGATGTACTCAGAGCTGGACACTGGTATATTCCTGTATCCCAGCTACTTGGGGAGCTGAGGCCGAAGGATCACTTGAGTCCAGCGTAGGCAACATTAGCAAAATCTGGTCTCAGGATTTGAAGCTCAAGGAATTAGAATTCAAGTGCCAGTCTGTCCAGGCAACCAAATGTCTACTTTCCTTTTGTCCCCTTAGAACACCATTGTGAATTTCTATTGTAACAGAATGTCCAGGAAGTGGAATGCCCAGAATATATTTCTGTATTCATTTTTCCTAAACAGTTCACACATACCTATCTCAAACCTGTGGCCAAAGACCATAACATTGATTCTGGTTGTCAGGGAGTATAGTCTCTTTCCGTACCTTGAGGTTTCCTGAAGAAGTTCACCTATGTGAATACATTGTTGCTTTTCTTAAACTACCTAATTTTACCATAACATATATTACATCATGTCATCAGAAAGTTATTTACAGGAGCCCTTTCTCAATCTGTATTGAGTCTTTGTTTTAATCTTTTATTTATTCAGTA